CATGTGGAGAATGTCTTCTGAGACGTCTTCTATCAAAGAGCCTCTGTGGAAGTCACCTTGACCCTTAGCTCCCCTAGCCCTATTGCAAAGATGTTCATTCTCAGCCACACCGACCTTTCTCACAGTCCCCGCTGCTTCTTCCCCAAGGCAACAGCATCAGCATCCCCTGGCTGCCATACCAGATGGTTTCTTGATCTTGTTCAGGTGACTGTTCTGTAGAATTTCACAATAATTCCTTGATCCTTCATAATGGAAACCTCCTTTAGGGTTTACCACATTTCATGCTCCCCCCAAGTCTCCTCTCAGAGCTCTTCTCCCTCTCTCTAATCGGTAAGGTCCCTCAGGATCCCACAATTCTTAACTTTTGCTTCTGTAGCCTGCAATTCTTGTGTCTATCCTCATCCACCCCACCCCACCCCCAGGCCTTCAACTAATATTTTATTAAGCCAAGAGTGTTCTTTGCATGGCTCTAGCAGGCCGGAACATGGCAAACATGACACCAACAGGTTTCGCCATTTCCCCTTTCCTCTCCCTTGCTAAATCATTAGATTACATTCCTAAAGCCAGCCCCAAGGTCCATTCCCTTAGTTGGCCACTGACTCATTCCTGAAACTGATCACTAAGGTCCAACTATCAAAACTCCAAGGTCCAGCAACCAAAATTCATTATTCTGACTAACCTGTTAAAATACCCAATCAGAACTTACCAACCACACCTTAGCTCATTCTAACACAGACCTCCCCCTTTCCCTCTTGAAATTAACTATTTGCAGCAGTTTTTTCCCAATTCAGATTCAGCCAACATGTTTCTTTGCCTTGCTTAATAAAGGATCTCTATATGGTGTGGTGTGGTATGTGTGTGTGTGTGTGTGTGTGTGTGTGTGTGTGTGTGTGTGTGTTTGGAAATTGGTGTTTGGATGTGGTCTGTGTCTGGGGTCCAGAGGGGAGCACCCTGCAGTAATGGGTCCCTTTAATCCTCAGTTCCCAAGAGCAGATTTTCTTGCTCATCCCTCAAAGTCCAATGGGGAATGGGTGTACCTCACACTCTGTAGGAGTAGCTCTTAGCCTAGGTTACCCCTGGGGCCTCAATTGTATTGGGACCAGGAGAAAAGGCTACAGCATGATCAGATCTATAGCAGAGAGAACACCTGGTTCCTAAAACATGAAAACATTTTGGCCAGGTGAAGTACACGACTCTAATCCAACATTCAGGAAGTGGAAGCAGGAGAGACCTCAAGTTGTAGGTATTGTGGGCTACATGAGGTGAACTATACTAGTTTGCTTTCTGTTGCTGTAACAAACACCACGACCAAAACAACTTGTCTTAGCGCTTCCATCATTGAAGGAAGTCAGAGCAGAGCTCAAGCCAGAATCATAAAGTGTTGGTTTGATTGATACCTTTCTTTTAAGATTTTTTTTTAAAAATTTTAAGATTTATTTATTATGTATAGTGTTCTGTCTTCATGTATGCCTACAGGCCAGAAGAGGACACCAAACCTCACTACAGATAGCAGTGAACCAATATGTTGTGGCTGGGGATTAAACTCAGGACCCCTGGGAGAGCAGTCACTGCTCCCAAACTCTTTGCCTTCTCTTCCTGCCCCCATTCCCTAGCTTTTTTTTTTTTTTAAGAGATTTATTTATTATGTATACAGTGCTCTGCCTGCATGTATACCTGCATGTCAGAAGAGGGCATCAGATCTCATTACAGATGGTTGTAAACCACCATGTATGGTTGCTGGGAATTAAACTCAGGACCTTTGAAAGGGCAGGCACTGCTCTTAACCACTGAGCCATCTCTTCAGCCCTCTCTACTTTTCTTATACATACAGCATAGGTCCATCTACCTATGACTTGTGCTACTCATAGTGGGCTGAGCCCTCTCAATTATCACAACAATCCCTCACAGACATGGCCACAGACCACAATTCAGTCTCCCTCATGATTCTAAGCAATGTCAGGTGGACGGCTGAAGCTAATTAAGACGTGGGAGGACCCTTTATCAAAACCAACAAAAATGGCCTCATAGTAAATAAGAGAAATTGAGCAGGATACAAAGAACAAGGTAGAGTCACTAAGTTAATTGATGACTTTGTAACTTGAGTAACCAGGAGACCAGAGATATCGTTAGGGATTCTGGGATGTGACTGACAGCTGACTTGCTCTTTGTTGGATTTAGTTGTTCTTGTTGTTTTGAGGGGGGGTGGGATTTGAGGCAGGTTTTTCTGTGTCTTTGGAGGCTGTCCTGGAACTAGCTCTTGTAGACCAGGCTGGTCTTGAACTCAAAGAGATCCGCCTGCCTCTGTCTCCCAGGGCTGGCACTAAAGGCGTGCGCCACCGCTGCCCGGCTTGGGTTTAGTTTTTTTTTTTTTTTTAATCGGGTCCAGGTACTACCAAAAGCAAATTCAAAAAAGCAGTGCTTCTGCGCTGGGACAGGTAACAAGGTAACAAAGTCCAAAGGGGGAAAGCAAAAAAAGTAACAAAGTGGGAAACAGTAATCTCTCCAGGAAAGGGACTGAAGTGTGATGATTCTGCATGGCAATCAGCAGCAACGAGGAGCAGACCCCGTCTTGCCCTAGGGTTCTCTAATATTCCGTGCTGTGAACAACCCCTTTCCCTATTTACTTCCTCAGACCGCCCAAGGGGCCTTGACAGGCAGCTTTTGGCACAGGCCAGGTACCCCAAGGGGTCCAGTAAGCATGCAGGCTGCGCGGAGGGAGGTGAAGGCTGGTATAAGCTGAGTGAGAAGTCTAGGCCTCCCCACCCTCAATAGACTTCATCTCATGAAGAGATGGGACATGATGCTGTCACTGCCCGATACCCGAGTGAATAAAACGTCAATATGAATATGAACTGCAGCTGCTTGGCACAATGCGAACCCCCATTCACAGGGTAAAATATTTTAAGGGAGATCCGAGTCCGGCTT